CATAACTCGCTGTTTCAAGGCATAAGAGCTATCATATACATACATTAAGAAAAGAATCATATAGTAGGGGCCTTTAATTTTATATGCATATGTATGAAACACCTTTTACTTAATGAGCTATACAGTATTTCAATAAGCTACTCAATATTATAGACACCTGTGTAAGGTCCATCACTACATTTATTTCAGTGACAAATCTCCAGAGGAAGAATTTAATTAGTTAAGCTTCTATTTATGAGTTACTGATAAAAAGTAGAACTATTTTGAGAAGGGAGATTGAAATTATATTCAAAATGGAAAATTATGATGAAGTATTTTCCAGGAGTATAAAAACTAAAATTTTCTTTTATTCATAAGGGGGTAATACACAATTGAAGATTTAAATAATTGTACAGCAGAAATATTAGATGAATTCAATGAAGCCTAGTAAACCCTGGAGGGAGATTGACATAAATTTCATATATTCATTATTAACTGCAACCACTTTATATGAAAATAACAGCAAAGCAGAATCTTTGTGTTAAATATCTATTGAACCCTTGTTCTGTTGGAGAGGATTGACGGATACATTGGTTTGTGCCCCTAAGATGATCCCAGGACAGGAGGGAGACAGAGAGGAATACATTCACCAGAGGGTGACAGCAGCCACAGGAAGAATGTATGAACCATTGGTGCTTAGTGCACCTGGCAAAGGTGGAGGGACACGGTAGGAGAGCAGGGCTTGCGTTGTGTTAAAATGGCCAAGAACAGTCAGCGAAGGGAGAGAGATTAAAGCTCAAGAAATCCTAGAGGAGACAGGAGGTAGGGAAAGAGTGGAGGCCCTTGTCTGTGTGAGAGACGAAGGAAAGAGCTCAACAAGCGAATATAAAAGTTAAGAGTAGAGATGTGGGTGCCTACACAATTCCCTGTGCAGTGGCTCCTTTTTCTTAGTGATAGTAAGGTGTTGAATCTGTATCTACTCCTAAAGGGAGAGATTTAGAACAGTCATTGCCATTTAGGGGAACTGAGAGGGATAAGAAATTACACGTGATGAGAAATAATCCTCTGAAGAAGAATTAAAATGTGTCCTGTATATATATCAACTCCGTATGGTCAGTGTAGTTATTGTACTGCAAACGTGTGAATGAAAACAAAAATTTGGAAAGAAAGAAAATAGTCCTCTGAGATTGTAAATTTTAAATCCACAGTTTATTTGGTGAATATTTATTGAGCACCTACTATGTGGCCACATTAAGTGCTGAGTTTACAGCAGGGAACAAGGGACACATTTTGAATTCTCAAGGAGCTTACACCATAGCACACTAATCCAAGTATTACACAAATTCTAATTCAATTATAACCATGAAAAAGATGGTGTATGAGTCAGAGGAAGGCAATTAAGGCACCAGATGAAGGGTGAGAAGAATTGGAGGTGGGCAGAGAGGCCTAGAAGGGAGAAATCAGAATCAGGCCGACAAAGGCTGAGCAAGGGGGCTGAGGCAGGAAAGTGCGGGAGAAGAGTGAGTCTCCCCACCCGATATGACCCTGGTGCCTCTGGTGGGTCACAAGTGCATCTAAGATTCATCTGCATAGCTTTTTGGAGCTACTCCAGGGCACTGCAAAAGTTGTATGACTCTCAAGTCAGGCACGATGGTGCACACCTGTAAGCCCAGTACTTGGGAGGGTGAGGCAGGATCTCTGTGAGTTCAAGCCCACCTTGAACTACATAGAGAGCCACTGTCTCAAAACACCACTAAAAATGATGAGTCTGTTATTTGGCCATGATATGAAAGAGATTGAAAAGCCCTGCTTTAAGGGAAACTGGTGCATGGAAGCTTTCATCTCCATCACCGTCAAGGTTCACGGAATAGATGAGGTATCTGTACATCTTGGTTAATTTGACTGCTCTGTGTTTGCATCCTTTTAATTCATGTGTTTAGCAAATATGCATTTGATAAAATGATGCTGCATCTAACCTGTGCTAATTTAATAAATGTTATAAGTCATCATACAGGTGGTCTGTAAGACAAAAGTTTTAATTGGGGATTTTTTAATGAGGGGATTAAGACTGTTCTCTCTAAGATGGTATCCATGGGGGAGAGTTTCCTCTCCTTTTTATTTTATGGAGTACTGTCAGTATAATAGAATATGACTGAGTAAAATCTCAGCTTATATTCAACCAGAAGAATTCTCAACTTATGTACACTGACAGATTAAATAAAGAATTCAGGAAATCATCCATAAAGTTCAGGTGAAGCTAGTTCAGTTTAACTGTTGGGGAAAATTGGATCCGTGACCTGGAATTATCCAGCTGGACAGTCTGTGTTTATTTTTAATTGTACACTTACCCTCTTTATCTCTGCATACAGTTTCTACTTTAGGGAAGCAAGACCATGGCCTTGTCTTTCTTACTTGTGGGTATTACACCTCTGTGAGATCGTGTTTACTACTGCTTTAAATCAGTGGTTTACGGTTGCTTGATATTTTCTAGATTTGTGAAGATTTCCTTTTTTATTTGTGTAGAAATATTTTTAGTACTAAAAGTTTTGGATAGTAACTTACGGTATAAGGGCACATATCATTAATGCTCCAAGCCAGCTTCACACACAGAGCAGTTGCCAGTACTCCTACTGCTTGTTCCCGCACGTAAACTTCTGGAGGAGCAGAGAACGTGAGGCGTGTGTGTATGTGTCCATGGCAATCTGCTCGCTGTGTGCAGGAAGTCACTGTGGCATTAAGCTATGAAAAGAGTCAATTGTTTTTGTGAAAAATCCTCAAGACATGCCTTGAATTCAAAGAATGAAGTTCATTAAAATCATAAATCCTCGCTCTCTATCTCTCTGTCTTTGGCATTCAATGGTATATTAAAGAAAAAAAATTTAAATTTTGATTAAGATATAAATATAATGGTTTGTTAAAAACACAGAATAAAATTCTCAATGCATCTTCTCCGTGAAGTTTTTACAGGATATTTGCTCTACCTCTCCTATGATAGAACCGAAAGCTATGTGAGATTGGTAACTTTCATTTATTTACTAAGTCATGTGCGAGGCTTGCTTTACATATAAATAACAAAGTTTCCAGGGTTGTTTTATCACAACCAGAAGTACTGCTAGGTTTCCCATACATAATTTGGCAGACTCCTTATTAAGGCAAACTATTTGAATGCCTGATCAGGTTATATTAACTTCTATTGGAAATACTAGGGAGATGGTGGTTGTCTTTCTCCCTGGTAAGCAAGGCCCTCTAGACCATCACAATATGTAATAGGAACGTGCTCCTTCTAGGTGGCGAGCTCCGTGTGAGATGGGAAAGTTGTGTCACATGATGGCGTCACCTGCGGTTTCCCTGGTCCAAACCACCATCCACATCACTAGGCATCCTCCTTTCAGGAGAGTCTGTCTGTTGCTGGCCACTTCATCAGGTTCAGATAGAAAATGAGCTCATTGCTGCAAGGGGTCTGCAAAGGTATCCTGAGGTCACTGAGGATTCTTGGAATGTAATTCTCATTAACAAAATGTCCCTTTCATTTAAATGTTATATGAATCAAGATGTTTCACGTAAATGAACTGACATAGGTATTATTTTAAATTAAAGAAATTGGCAGTTTCTGTAAGCTATTTCTTTTTGTAAACTATGAGAGCTTAAAAAGCAAGGTTTGAAATAATTGCTGTTTCAGAACTCTGTTTTCTCATACTGCCAGTGAAATTGAGTGACATGCTGTAAAGACCTGTAGACATTATGTTGCTAGTTTGTGATCTCCTTGAGCACAAAATCCATAGGATTTTATTTTCAAGATTAAATCAATGTGTTTTGGCTAGATAATCAATTAAACATTTCCTTTCAAAAATATTTGCCATTAATGAGATTAATGCCAGGAGTATACACTTCAGAAAGATGTGGTCACTTACAAGGTGTGATTCAAAAAAATACAGTGGGTAAATGTCTACATTTAAAATTTTTTATTACAGTAAAAGATGCACTGGCATTAATCCCACTCAAGATGCTTCTCCTTAATACACACTTATCCCCCATTCTTGCCACTTTGTAAAGCAGTTCTGAAGTCCTCTTCAGTGAATAGTTTGTTTTGCTGTCTTGACTTCCTCAATATTCTGAATTGATTCAAAAAGTTAACTTTTATGGCCATTTTGACTTTTGGGAAGCTCCTGAGCTGCATGGTATTGGGTATAATAGATGGGATGGGGCAGGACACATCATAGTTTTTTACCAGGCTCATTTTTATTGCATGGCACTGGGCAGCAGCATTTATTATATATAATGAATCATATGTGGTAGAGACACTGAAAGAAGACCTCCAGAACTGCTTCAAAATATGACACCAACAACGGGATAAGTGCGTTTTAAGCAAGGGGGAACTCTTTCAGGGGAATTAATGGCAATGTGTATCTTACTGTAATAAACCTCAGAGATGTTTTAAAATACATAAAAGAACACATAAATTGTATTTCAATATTTTATATCACTGTCATATATCATATATAAATTCCAAGATCTAAATCCTTTCATGATACATCCCCCTTTCCCTTGTCTTAGATTGAGAAGCACTGACCGGCCCACAGAGCTAGCTAGCACTTTTCAAGTACAAAGATGTTACCCTTGGTCTGCTGTAAGATGCTCACTCTGGTTTCACTGTCACCATATTTACATTAGACACTGCAGGGCTATGCCAGTTATCTGGAGGTGTCCCAGTGGTCTAATAACTTCAGGGCAAAATGCCAGCAGAATCCTCCTGGTAGTTCAGTCAAAACACTGTGTTAACTTGTTGGATCTTTAGACATCCTCACAAATGAAACAGTAAACCTGAAGAAAACACATTTGTTTCAAGTGAGTTAACTATTCCAAAATACGTAATAGTTAACCCTGGCCAGCCATTTGTAATTGTGTGTAAAATGTAACTAACAAGATGTATTCTCCAAGGCTATTAATTATGTACCGAACAAGAACGCTTTGGAAATATTGTTCCTCTAAGTGGGATAAACCTGTGTTATCCAGGCGACTTAATGAGCATTTTTGAGCATCTGCCAGCGCAAAGAGCATTCAAGCTTCAGCCAAAACTGAGGAACAGCTGTCGCAACAGTGAGCCAATAAGACCCAGTGCTGTCATTAGTCAGATAAGTCATCAATCACAAGACTGAAGTTAAGTACGCTGTGATTGGTGGTTGAACCGAACCCTGTCTTCCTGGGCCTGACTGTAGTGGTTCGAAAAATGAGAATCTTGGAAACACCAGGTCGCGTGGGGAATGCACTTATTTACTTCAGAAAGAAAAGGGCACAAGTGGATCTTGGCAGAGAGCACAGGCATGGGATGGAGAACGCAGGAATCAAGCAGACAGAAGTGAAGCAAATAAAATGATTTGACTGGCCCAGTAGACCAGCAGAAAGAGTTGAGCCGTTTCCACTCACTTCAAACAGACTTCACCATGCAGAGAATTTGACTGGCCCAGTAGACCAGCAGAAAGAGTTGAGCAGTTTCCACTCACTTCAAACAGACTTCACCATGCAGAGAAGTGAGATGATGAATAACAGTGATCTTTTGATAATCTATTGGCAGTGAAACAACTAATCATACCATGAGAACAACAAGCATGGTCATACTTTTTCTACAGTTGTGAAATACCAGTGATTAAAACAGGTGCTTATTTACAATCACAGGCCAGTGAGAGATGTCATCAAAGCATGTACTTTCTTAAAATTGCTAGTGAGAAAAGTGAAGAATTACTTGAAAATGTAACCAGGATGAACTTCTAAATAGTGACCTTAAGCTGCTTAAACGCCTTCTCCAGAAAGTGTTGCTTTTGAAAATGTATTCATTTTGAAATGCAATGAGGAAGTTACATGCAGATAGTCCTTCAGTGTTTAATTAAAATCAAATCTTTTGCTTTGCCATGTTCATAGTGTTCTTGCGGGGAAACAGCTCTACATTTGATGAGGATTTGGATTTTCCATGCGCACTGTCAGTACTTACCTGTACAACCAAAGAGCGCTTTGCTCTAAGAATCAGATAGCAGCATTGAACAAGTCAATAATCTGACTGTACCTCACAATCCAGTCATTGTATAAATGTGAAATTGTTTGTCTAAAACCTTTGCTTCATTATTTATTGCTTTGCTGCATTATTTATTTGCTTCATTATTTATTGAAAGAAAAAACCGCATACCTGAAAAGGTTTTATTCGTTCTCTATTATCTCTTGTTACCGTGTCATTATAAGTAAACTGGAGTTCCATGCCCCTCTTTTACATTTGTGCAGATCCAAGAGCTGTGACCTCTCGAAAGTCAGTGCGAATATCTAAATTGTACCAACAAACTTAATTTTAAAAGAAACAAAAAGAGAGTCATCGTTCAAAAGGTCATTCTTCTGACCCAAGAAGTGAAGTGAAAAGAGGAACAAGGTGCTTACATGTGAATATAAATAAAATTAGGTTCGTCTACTATGCATATTTTCATTTCTTTTTCAAACATTGCCCAGCTTAAGTAGGTTTAATGAGCATAGCGCATGACCTTATTTAGTTTATAAAATATATTGAAAATTAAGGAATATTAAATTGTCAAAAATCAATTGAAAAAATACGTTTATTAGTTTTTTCCAGATTATTATTAAAATACTGTCAATGAACAGTTTCATTTTTTTCTAGGCCAAGAAAAATAAGCTAAAAAGAATTCATGGCAAAAATTAATCTTCAGTCAAAATCCTGGAAAAGAGTTAGGAAAACCTTTCTGCCTTACCCAGACATCACTGCATAATTAGAAAGTCAGCATTCTGGTGGCAATTTTAACATGCAATCCACACCTATTTCAGAATAGGTTGTTAACACATAAAGATCACATAGCACATAAGGATTTTCTTGCTTAATGTGTAGACACTTATGTTTCAGCTTAAGTTTATCAATGCAGAAGTTCTTTTTTACAAAAAAGACACAAATTAAAATAAGATGTTTTCAAAGATTCTGCAAATAGAAGACCTAATCAATCTGATCATCATGACCATTACCATGGTCTATGAATTTGTAGTGTTGCCCATTTCACTATTTTTTAAGCTTTGTAGCCAAAATGCTTCAACTTCCTATCATATATAGACTTGGCTGTGATTTCCTAAGCTTAATTTTAAGATGTTCTTAATATTACTTGTATAAATACAATTTCTTGTGAATAGGACAAGGTTTTATTGTAAAATCCCCTAAGAGAAACCAGAGTGCAAAATAAGAAATAAAAATAGTTTTTAAGATTTTCTTTGCCTAGTCTTCAAAATATTTAGATATTTATCTTCAACTTGTTTGATTGTAGAATCAGAAAAATTCTTTCAAAGTGCATATATACTTTAAAACATTTTAAACAATACATTGCCATCAAATATATATATATAAAGAACATAAAAATGTCACTCCCAGTGACAGCACATAGAGAAGTGTACATCTCTGTATGTATGTGATGCTTATGAAATTATACCATAACTATTGATAATATACATACATTTGCCATATCAGTTTTATAAACTATATTTTTGAAAATTTATTTAATGAGTTTACATTACTTCATACACAATTATTGCCTAATTTATCTACAGTTTCCCCATTTCTTATACATTAACATATTTTCTAATTCTTCAATATTACTTTCAGTTCTTTAAACATCTTGGCACATGACCCTTTGTTCTCATCTCTGTTAATATTTTAGAATATAGTCTTTAAAATAGAAATCATATATCAAAGACTGGACTGGGGATTTAGCTCAGCAGCACAGCACCTGCCTGGCAAGTGCAAGGTCATGAGTTCAATTCCTGATACCGAGAGAAAAACAAAAACAAAGTAAAACAAGAAAAGAAATCATATCAAAGACTATGAAAAAGGATCTTGGTAATTGTTGCCAACTTACTTTCTAGAAAGCTTTTACTAGTACATCCTTCTCTGTGTATGTGAGAGAACGTCTCAGGATCCGTTGAGCATCCTTGGATATTTAATAATAATGATGATGATAATAAACCTTTGACAACCTGTTAGCTAGAAAAATCTTTTTTCTTTCTTTTTTTTTTTTTTTGGTACTGGGAATCGAACTCAGGACCTTGCGCTTGCCAGGCAGGCACTTATATCACTGAGCTATATCCCTAGTCCTGCTAGAAAAATCTTAGTTTTAATTTTGTTTCTTTGCTTTAATTTTGTTTCTTCAGTATTCAATAAAGCTTTACAGTTCTTTGGAGGTTTATTTGCATTTGAATTGTAAAAACTGCGGCCGGGGATTTAGCTCAGCGGCAAAGCGCCTGCCTGGCAAGCGCAAGGTCGTGAGTTCGGTCCCCGGTACCGGAGAAAAACCAAAAAAAAAAAAAAAAAAGAGTCTGAATTGTAAAAACTTCCCCGCTCATATTTTGCTCTTATTAATTTGCAAAACTTCTATATGTTTGTAATATATTGTTATCTGTGCACTTCTAGCTATCAACTTTAGTAATTTGCATTTCATTAAACATATTCTTATACACATTTAAATGTTCTGTAATCAAACTTGCGAATGTTTATTTATCCATGAAGAAAAAGGTATTTCATTATATTATGAAAATATGGTCACATTTTTCTTGTGTTTTTGTGCATTTTTAAAACATTCTTAACCCTCTGAGAATTTATCATGATGTACATGTGAAATGTGACTTAACTTCTTTTTTCAGCTAGCTGGTGATCCTAATACCTGTTGAAAATTCATACTTTATCTGATTGTGATATTTGTTTATCATACATTAGATTTGCCTCTATACTAGGCTGAATTTTAGTACTATGTGTTTTTTTCTTCCTATGAATTTATCTTTTAGTAATTGGTTAATTTTTGTTTTACTCTTTTTAAAAATGGTTTTATCAGTTCATCCCTTCTATTTATGTATGTGAATTTCATAATTATTCCAATTTAAAACATTCCAGTATACTCTGGTTTCTCTTCAGATTGTATAAATCTTTTGCCTGTTTTAAAAACATTCCAGTGAAATTTGATGTATTTATTAACAAGAAGTGATAAGTTCCCCAAATGTGCTGCTTCCTCTGAAGAACGTGGTAGGTGTCTTCATTTATTTGTGTCTTCTCTTATGTTAATAATAGCTCTGTCTTTTATTTGTGCACTTTAATGGTATTTTGTGCTTTTCAATGGTATTTTGTGCTTTTCATGGTAAATGTGAATGGAACCCCAGGTGTCCTCTAATTGTTTGTGTCAGTGTGCTAGTTATTTGGGATGTCCTGAGCAATGCCCAACACAACAGATGTTCTTTCTTGTTCTATACCATATTCCAGTGAAAACACACGGCATAAAACTTCACAGCAGCAATGCTGTTTATGTTGCTAAATAATAACACATAATGGCTGTCCAGATAATAAATAACTTAATAGTATATGATACTATAGTATATAATACAAACATACTAACACAATATTTTTATAACCTGATGAAGTCTATGTTCTCTACCCACTTATATACTTGTTCTTTTACACATTTCTCTTTCTACTAAGTATTATTTTTAGTTCTTTCTTCTTATCATTACTTTTATACATGTTACTTCTGTCTCTGCTTCCATGATCAGTATGTCATCAAGAGTTGAGTTTTATTCTTATGTAGGAATAAATGCACTGTTAGCCGTGGATATGAAATGAGGTAGCTATAATGATTATAGTTTTTTACAGTAAGAATGACTTTTTGCTATCAATTGTATAAAATTAATCTTAGTTTTATAAAAGTTTGACAGTGGAACAGTAGTGCCTAATTTCCTGCAGAGTTTATACAAAAGTCTCAAAGCTGAGTAGCTTAAGGAAGCTGTCATCACTAATATTAGTTAAGTCAAAGAGATAAATTTTCAAAAAAATCAGTGTTTTAATCTCAGTATCTAAATGTAAGAACTGCTTTAAGTAAACTTATGATGTTATAAAAGTATATTTATTAATTTGAAAATATGTCCATGATTTAAATTTTTCTTAAGTATTATATGTATATAAAATTGAGAAAAAGATGTGTGTGCAAAGTTGTAAGCAGTGGTAACCTGAAGGAGATAAAATTACAGGTAACTTTTAAACTATTTTTGTTCTTTATTTTTATGATTTATCTGGAATACAT